TACTATGCATTATGTACTATGCACTATGTACTATGCGTTATGTACTATGTATTATGTACATGTATTATGTACTATGCATTATGTACTATGATTATGTACTATGCATTATGACTATGTATTATGTACATGTATTATGTACTATGTATTTATACTATGTATCATACACTATGTATTATATCCTGTGTACTATATACTATGTATTACATACTATATATTCTATACTATGTATTACGTATTATGTATTACGTACTATGTATTATATACTATGTATTATGTACTATGTATTATGTACTATGAATTTATACTATGCATTATGTACTATGCATTATGACTATGTATTATGTACTATGTATCATATACTATGTATTATATCCTGTGTACTATATACTATGTATTACATACTATATATTCTATACTATGTATGACGTACTATGTATTATATAGTATGCATTACATACTATGTATTATATATATATTCCTTTCTGCCTCTAAAAGCAGAGAACTCTTACTGGGGACACAGAGTAAAAGCAGGGCAAGGAGAATCACCCAGTTAGTTGCACCACCTTGAATCACCTAAGAACTGGAATCTGGAATGCAGACAAGGAGAACTTAACCTTTCTATTTGTAAACATGGATGACGTGGGGGGGATGGGGGGCTGCAGTGTCAAGGTCATTACAAGATTTTGAAAGAAAATCCATGTGAGTGGCAGGTGGTGCTTAAACAATGAGTATCTGCCTGGTGTCTCCAGCTGTGCCATTAGCGGGGGCCACAGCAAACAGGTATTAGTGGGCTCCTGTGACAGCACTGTCCACCTGTGTCCTCCAAAACTATCCCCATGGTGGAGATGAGCGAACACAGGTGTCCTGACATCAAATGGCATCTCCTCAGCACACACAGAACCACCCGAGACAGAACTCGTGGATTTTCAAAGATCCACAGGGGCTGGTTTGCTCCTGGTATAGGGGAGGCCAGTCTGGAGAAATAGTAGTTTCTCCCCCATATTGAAGACAGTGCCTAGAGAACAGCCCAGAAAAACTGTTAAAGGAACTCTTGAGAAACAGAGATCTCCAGGCAGACTCCAAATGGGGGCAAACACTTGGAGACTACAGAAAATATCACATCCCAGGCCCAGAGTCCGAGTCTGACCCAAGGAAGAAAATCATCTAAAGGGCTTACAAGATATTGAAAAAAAAAAAAATAGTTAACTATTGGTAAAAATAAATATGAACTAGAATTCTGCTTGAAATAACCTCCAAAAATAGAACAGACAAGAAACCTACAATACATAACCCAGGAGAAGAAAAAAAAGGGAAATAATTTTTTTTTTAATCATCAAAAGTAAATCCATTTTTTTTTTTTCCCCCTGAACTCAAACCCCACCTGCCTCTTAGGATCTCTTTTCTCATCTTTGAAACCAGAAATCACAAAGGAGATGCAGGCCAGAAACAAACTGCCAATTTATACAGGAGACGTGGAAGTATTCAGTCATCATAAAAAAAAAAAAAAAAAAAATTCAACCTCTTTAGAAATCAGAGAAATGTTACATGAAATCCCACCCCAGACAGAATTAGTATTGACGAAGATATGAAACAAATTTATTCTCGTAAACTCAAGAGGGAGATGAGGTGATTATGATGTGTCAGTGGAAACTAGAGATGCTAATAAAGATCCATGATACCCCCCACAGAAACAGAGACACACTGAAATTGCAGGGCATCTGACCACAGTGACAAGTAGGAACACAGCAGGACCCATCCAGACACATGAAACCCAGGGCTGGTCCAAGAGAATGTGCCTTTGGAAGTGATGAATAATGAACTGTGGGGAGAATGGTCACTAGGGGCCAGCTATATTTTTGGTCACAATTATTCAGTTTAAAAAAAATAGTATAAAACACCATATTTAGGTCTTACATAGGTGCCATATGCATGTGGTGTTTCCCAAGGACACAGATTTAAAAAGATCATGTGCACTTATGAGAAAATAAAATCACAAGAGGCACATAAAAGACTCAGTGACCCAGCCCACGTATAGATGATAAAACTCATCATCACAAAGATAATTTTTTTTTCCCCAAAAGTAACTTACAATATTTTGCCCTCAAAATAACTACGTCAGGCTGGAGTTGTGGCTAAGTGGTACAGGGCTCTGTCTGGCAAGCGTGAGACCCTGGGTTCCATCCTCAGCACTGCACAGAGATAAATAAATAGATAAATAAAAGGTCCATTGACAACTAAAAAAAAATTTTTTAAAAAATCTATGTACATATATGACTACATCACAGTGATGTTTACCTCTAGGTGCATCTATAAAGCAGTAGGGTTTTTTTTTAATATTTTTTAGTTGTTGGTGGACCTTTATTTTATTTATTTGTATGTGGTGCTGAGAATCGAACCCAGTACCTCACACAAGCTAGGCAGGGGCACTACCACTGAGCCACCACCCCACCCCCTAAAGCAGGAGTTTTAAAAACTCTAAATAAATAGAAGACAGAGGAAGATAGGAGGAGGGAGAAAAGGGACGTACTGCATGCTGAAGTGGAGCAAACGATATTCCATGCTTATAGGATTCAACCAGAAAATGAGGCTGAGTATTATGCATTACTATGATGCACTAATGCAAAAAAAAAAAAAAAAAATCAGTCTATTTTGAGTGATTCATCCACCAAGTGAAATATATGTAAATTCATCCACCAAGTGAAATATATGTAAATTTAGCCAAGAAAACCTTTCAATGGTAAGAGGAAAAAGAAGTCGTGATCATCCCCTGACACATATCTATGATGAAACTTTCCTATTACAATAATCACAATATTAAACAAGAATCCCTAGGTGAATCTTGGGCAGGTCCAAATGAGATCCCTGGAATTGCAATATGCAATGGATGTCGGTATGCATCAGACCATCACAAGGCCAATCGCTGCAACTTAGCTGCACTCTGTCTCTAAATAAAATTTAAAAAAAAATAAAAAATAAAGAAAGAAAGAAGGTCCCAGGGATGTGGCTCAGGGGTAAAGCACCCTCCAGCACCACCACCACCACCCCCCCAAAAAAAAGAAAGAAAACAAAGGAAGTAAAACTGAGAAGTGCCTGGGTTAGGACTCACCGAGGACCCTGTGCCCCGCAGCTGCCCCCTCTTGCAGGAAAACCCGCGCTGGGAGGCGGCCCGCGGACGCTCTTCCCACCTGTCAATCACCCCAGCCCGGGACCGGGCCGAGCAGCCGCGCTCACCTGCCTGAGGCTGCCCCAGGGGATGGGGAGGCCGCGAGGGGTCTCCGCCACGGTCACGCTCCCCACCCGCCTGGCCAGGGGGSACTGAGGGGCGCTGTCCCCGAGGGGCTCAGGCCTGCGGCCGCAGAGAGCCGCCCGGAGTCGGGGTCGGGTTCCCGCCACAGCCGCTCCCGCCGGACGGCCTCCCTCCCCAGCCTCCCCGTGGTGCAGGCTCCAGGTGCCACCGCCCACTCACCATCTCCTGGTGCCCAGCAGCCAAGCCTGCCCTGGGGAGCTTCGGCCTCTGCACGGCAGAGGCCACCCGGGGGTCCTGGGCGCACGGAGAGAAGCCCGGAGCCCAGCGGCAGGAATGGCGGACTCGGAGGAAGGCCCTGGGMCCAGCGCGCGGAAGCCCGCCCCCCTGCTCGCTGGCTGCGCTCAGGATTGGACAGCGCTCAGCACGGGGGCTTCTGATTGGACAGGGCGTCCGTCAGTCATCGTTCTCCCCAGCCGGAGCCCAGCGAGGCTCCTTTTTGAGTGACAGGAGGGTGATATCCGCTCCAGGCAAGAAGGAGGCCGGAATGGCAGGGTTGGGCTGCAGATGGCTTTTTTTTTTTTTTTTTTTCTTTTTTCTTTTGAGGCCTGGGAATTGCACCCCCAGAGCTTCAGGCTGCTGCTATTTTAAGTCACGATTTCCTCCCACAAGGAGGATGGAGCCCAACCAGCAGGACATTGGCTTGAACCTTGCATATGTGGGTCCTTTCAATCTATGGATTCTGTACGTCTATAGGTTATGCATAAAATTTTTTAAAAAATGAAAATTACTGTAAAATTTTCCATTGAACTATTCTATTCTCTGGTCTTCTTGGGAGACACATTGAACTTTGAACTGGGAAGCAACCCTCTAAAGCAACAATGTCAGTAAAACTAATAATAATAATAATAATAATAAATGGCAACAATGTCCAGTGGAAAACAATTCGTAAGGCACACGAGTAATTTAAAATTTTCTAGTAAGAGCCCTGGGTTCGATCCTCAGCACCACATAAAAAATAAATGCATAAAATAAAGGTATTGTGTCCATCTACAACTAAAAAAGAATTATTTTTTTAAAAAATAAGAAGAAGAATTTTTTAAAAATAAGAAGAAACATAGCTGGTGATATATAGTTCAGTTGGTAGAGTGCTTTCCTGGCAGGCACGAGGCTCTGGGTTGGATCCCCAGCATCTCACACACACACACACACACACACACACACACACACACACACACACAAACAGTTGAGGGCTGGGGTTGTGGCTCAGTGGTAGAGCACCCGCCTCACATGCGTGAGGCCCTGGGTTCCATCCTCAGCACCACATAAAAAATAAATAAAATATATATAGGGTCCAACTTTATAAAAAAAGAAACAGTTGAAATTGATTTTAGTAACAGAACCCCATAGAGCCATAATATTACCTTTATGTGACTAAGTACTAGTAATGAAGTATTTGTATTTTTTTTGAATGACACCCTCAAATCTGACTCTCTCTCCAGCATATCTGAACACAGCAGCCAAGTTCCAAATTTGAGAACTGGGGGTCCCCCAGCCTTGGTTTAACCCCTTTATGTACCAGAGGGGAGGGCTACAATTCCTTGCTTATGGTTTCTCCCCGRGCCCAAAGAGCAGCAGAGACCTGAGTGACAGCAAGGAGCTCCAATCAGAAAAGGCTTTCCCACCTGGGGTTGGTCACAGGCTCTTTCTCATTGCAGACATGGTGCACCCAAAGGAAGATGGGTTCCCAGGGATCTGGAGACACATACCCTGTTCTCGGTCCACAGCCTTGAATTCTGCTGTTTAAATACACTAAAGACAAAYTTCTTATTGGGCCCTTTGTAAAATCTGTTTCCTTCTGTGGACAAAGTCCCACAACTAATAAGCAGCTGGGGTTGGGATTCAGGATGAGCTGTATCTGGTTGCAAAGCCAAAGCACCTCCGCCTGATCACCAGACTCTTGCAACATTCCTTACTCTCTTCCCGCTTGCAAAGTGACAATTATTCAGAAAAGCAGGACTTGTGAGGTGTATATATAAATGCAATCCAGTCCCCAATGGTATGGCCCCAACTCGGTGACCCTGATGAGCCTCAAACTTGCTTATGTATAAAAGTAGACGCTCCCGTGCACTCAGGGCTCAGACTTTGGGAATTATCCCTCTGGATCATGGCCACACTAATAAAGGGTGGGCTTCCGGATGTCAGTGACCTGACCCTCATTTCCCCCTGCATTGTCCCACCCCAGTTCCTCACAAATGCTTGGAGACCACAGGGTGCAAAAGAGCCCATCACAGACCCCAATCTGCATATGGTTCAGGGAAGAAGAAAAAAAATCTAATTGGATGGAAATCAACTGAGAGGTGACGCAAGCTTGTCCGTTGGGGAAATTGGAAATAGAAAAATAAGAACAGAGTGATTTTATTTGCCACAAGGATACTTTTATTCCCTTCCTTGCCAACACCCAGGGGATCTTAGCTGCAGAGAAGCGGCTACAAACAGAGATCTCTTGTGATGACGGGACTTCAGCAGCCCTTCTGTGATATAATCCAACAGTAGCAATTAAAAGGTTATGTGTGTGTCCCTTCAGTCACTATTCCCTGGGAGTCTGTCTTCAGCAGGAGACTCCAGGGAGCTCTGCAAAGAGTCTGTCTTCCATGTAGGGCAACAATTCCCCCTGACCATCCTGGCTGCCTCCCCCGGGGACACTCCCGTGGGAATGTTTTCTACACAGATCAGCTAGAGATGAATCTGTGCATATAGACCTCCATCCCCTGGGTCCCAGAATAAGGTCTTTGGATAAATATTTGAGTCGAAAAACTAGAATCTGATCATTAGATATCCACCCTACCACCCAGGTCTTGAGATAACATAGTTCTGTCCTTGTAGGTCCCCTGCAATTATTGTCCCCCACCCCTGCATATACACACACACACAGAAGGGGAAGGTCAAAGACTTTCCAGATGTGAACCCAGATGAGGACTGGCCTGGATTGGTCTCCTCTGGGCTGCCCCCTTTTACCTGTAGGTGTCTCCTAATAAGCAATTATAAGGGTCTGGGGTCAGGGCTGAGTCAATTTGTGTTAAATCAGGATGTGAAATTTCTTCACCAAAATTAATCCTTGCCTTACACAGCAAGAATCATTAGGCAATAAAGACCTTCCTTAAAGAAAATAAACTTAATGTYTTAGAGGTCTTTATCGTGTCAAAAATATGGAAAAATTTTAGCTCACATCAGCATAGCAAAATCAGGCAAATAGTCTGAAATATCCTGGCATTAACCCGTTAAAATTTTTATAGTCAGTCCAGTACATTAAAAAATGTCATTTTTAATTGTTTTAACTTTCTAGGTAATGATGCAAAGATTTTCCTATGCAGGAAAATTTTTCTATCATTTTTCTGTCTAGGTAATGATGCAAAGATTTTCCTATGCAGGAAARTTTTTCTATCATTGAAATCTGGAATATAAGCTTCTTGTTTTACCCAAAGATGATTTCTTTCTTCTTCTGAGGGCCTCCAGTGTGCACTTCCTCTCTGTGGAAGCATCTTCTTTTTCTTTTAGAATTTTTCCTGGTTGTACTTTGGAACAATTTCCAAAAAAAAACCCTCAGAATGTAAACAAATGATTGTACCTGGATGAGAAGAAATATCTCGATGAAAATACAAAGTTCTTGGATATTTCTGTTGACAGGATTTTGTTATAAAGTTTCTACGATCATTTGAGAGTTCAAGATTACTCGATGGTTGTTTTATCTCTTGAAAGCAAATTCATAGTAAAATATATTTATCTCAAATAAAAATTTGGATCCATTTCAATTTTAACTAGGCATGCACGCTCATATGGGACATAGCAGGATGTAGCTGAGATGCTCTGGACCCTTTTGTGCCTAGAACCCTGCAAGGTTTGGGTCCATCATGAAAAACATCTTTTTTCTCTTGCATCTCCCTTTAAATGAGCTCAATGAGGCTCTCTCTCTCTCTCTCTCTCTCTCTCTCTCTCAAACCCAGCTGCCCCTGGGCTCCCTGGCTCCCTGGACAGTCTATTTTTTTTTAAGAGAGAGAAATACCTGTAACGGCCACATGATGGCAGCCTTGCACAGACCAAGGCCAACCTGGGCCCTGTCTCTGGTCCAGGCTCCTCACCTGGATCCCAGGACTCAGGGGGACTCATCTGCCTTCCTCCATCAGGTGCAATTGGACACTCTGCACTTTACAAAGAAAAAAAAATCAGCATTCCTAACTGCTCACCCCTGCCTGCTGGCCTTGACCCCATCCAGAGCAGATGTGATTCAAAAGAGAGCTCTGTGTCTTGCTTCCCAAATATCAGGGGCTGGGAGCCCAAAGTGACAGAATACACACAAGACATTGTTAAGAGGGGCCCGAGGGTGTGCCTCTTCAAGGGAAAAAAATATATATATTAGGGGTTTCATTGTGAAGCTAGGAAAGCTGATTCGAGATTTTTCTAATTCTATAGGTAACTCCATAGACTTGCCCATAAATAAATATATACTCACTAAATCCGCTAAAAATGCACCCGGTGGCCATGAGGCCATCCATTTGGTTTCATGTTCCTATTCGGTATTTTATTTTATTCTTAATCACACAGGACAGTAGAGTCCAATTTGATAAAAATCATACTAGCATAGGACATATCTTATTCTATTTAGGAATCCCCTTCTCYGGGGTGGGCGTGATGGTGGAATTCACTTATGTACTTTCCTGTGCATACGCAGGAAACTGATTCATTCTGCTGCCTTTCCTACTCGAATCTCTACTCCCTTCCTTCCTTGCTTCTTTGGCGAATCTCCTGTGAACTTCTCCTCTTTCCCTCCCTCCTTTATTGKGGTTTTGGCCTCCACGGATCCTCAAAAGCAGGCCAACTTTGGTTGTTTTGGGGGTTGGCTTGTTTCACTTAGCGCGATAGTCTCCATCCATTGACTGGTGAATGTCATAAGGTCATTCTTCTTCACGGCTGAGTAATATTCCGTTGTGAATATRTAACAATAATTTCTTTATTCGTGTGTTGATGTGCCAGGCGTCGGGGGATATTGATCCAGGACAGCTCTGTCACCGCCGTTGTGTGCCAGATGGTTACACAGGGTCCTTAGGTCTGGTTTTCTGCTCTGAACAGTGAGTGACATTTCCTGCCTGCTCTCCCAGGTCTTTCTTGCTTTGGGGGTTGGTGGCTCCTGTGTCTTCCCATGGGGACTGGTCTAAGGCAGACATCTGAGCAGCAGCTGGACAGACGGACAGTGGACAGTGACGTGCTCAGCCGAGGGCTTCCTGCGGACGCTGTGCAAACCTATTTCCAGGGCACTTAACCAGCAATAATC